TATATTTCTACTGTACATGGTTCCACACTACATATATTTCTACTGTAGATGGTTCCACAGTACATATATTTCTACTGTACATGGTTCCACAGTACATATATTTCTACTGTACATGGTTCCACAGTACATATATTTCTACTGTACATGGTTCCACAGTACATATATTTCTACTGTACATGGTTCCACAGTACATATATTTCTACTGTACATGGTTCCACAGTACATATATTTCTACTGTACATGGTTCCACAGTACATATATTTCTACTGTAGATGGTTCCACAGTACATATATTTCTACTGTAGATGGTTCCACAGTACATATATTTCTACTGTAGATGGTTCCACAGTACATATATTTCTACTGTAGATGGTTCCACAGTAAATATATTTCTACTGTAGATGGTTGCACAGTACATATATTTCTACTGTAGATGGTTGCACAGTACATATATTTCTACTGTAGATGGTTCCACAGTACATATATTTCTACTGTAGATGGTTCCACAGTACATATATTTCTACTGTAGATGGTTCCACAGTAAATATATTTCTACTGTAGATGGTTCCACAGTACATATATTTCTACTGTAGATGGTTCCACAGTACATATATTTCTACTGTAGATGGTTGCACAGTACATATATTTCTACTGTAGATGGTTCCACAGTAAATATAATTCTACTGTAGATGGTTGCACAGTAAATATATTTCTACTGTAGATGGTTCCACAGTAAATATATTTCTACTGTAGATGGTTCCAGTTGTTAAAAGAAAAGCAGCTCCAACATTTAAAAACTGATAGTCATTAAAGAATCTGAGCTTCAGACGATTCTGTGCAGTTAAATGAAGTCTGTTCACGTTTCTGCTCGTTGACACAAAAAGCTCGTTGTGTGTTTCTGCTGATTGTTTTCTCATAAAGGATCCGGGTCAGGCGGGTCTGCAGGACTCCCCTCGTGGTACGAGGACTGACTGCTCATGTTGTCTTCCTGCCGGACCGTCAAGAGCCCGAACAGCTGAGCGATGACATCACCGTTACACAAGGACGCTGCTGCTGTTGGAAACAGCTGATCTGCTGTTTGACAGGGATTCGGTGCAGAAGCACAAACCTCGGCACCGCAGGGTCGGGTCGGGTCCCCGGTTCTTGGTCCACGGTCTGACAAAGTGTTAACACTTTCAGCAGAAACGTCTCTGCGTTAAACTGCACGGCAGAAATCTGGAATTTATCAGCCAAGTGAAACTTCCAAATGAAGCTCCATCAACATGACGAAACACCACGAGAATGTAGAGAGCTCAGAACCAGAACCTCCAACCCAGAACCATCTCTGCCGTCCACCACCAGAAGAGGAAAAGCTTTAGCTACATTTTGGATTTTTTACTGCTTCTCTCTAATTTTCACTCAAATCCTCTTATTAAGGACTTTTTCCTAAAATATCCCGAGGATTATTTCCATCAATCTTTAGCCGCCTCTTCCTTCCCGGGCCGCGGGGGTCACTTGGGCCAGGTCCAGAACCAGAAGTACAGTACCTCGCACCCTGAAACAATTTAGTTACCAGTCAGACTAACATGCATGTTTTTGTTCTGTGGGAGGAAACCGGAGTACCCGGAGAAAACCCACGCAGCACGGAGAGAACATGCAAACTCCACCCAGAAAGGTACTCGGTCGGGATTTGATCCGACAACCTTCTCGTTGTGAAGTGGCAGCTCTACCAACTGAGGCACATGTTTGTGGAGTATCACATAACTTCCAGCAAGTTCTACAAAATAAAACCATTAAAACAAAGACTTAAAGTGAGCTCCAAGTGGAGGTTCAAACTGAATTTATCTCAGTTCAACTCAGATTAGAATCAGATTAGGATTAAAATGCATCTCAGACGGGGGCCACACAATTCAATCAGATTTAATCTGTCTGTGGCTCCAGCTCCATGGAAGCAACAGAACATGTGCTCTGAATCAAACTCCTGAAAAACGTCCATGTTTGTCCTGAACGTGGTAAAAATTATTATTATTTTTTTTTTTAGACGAGTTTATTCCAGAAGCTGCAGCGGCTTCAGCTTCTGGGAGCCTCTGAGCCGTTCGGCTGTTTGCTCTGAAAGAGCAGCTTCCTCATCAATCTTCTGCTGATTTTACACCAAACTGGGCTTCTCATCAACAAACACTGAGCTCCCCCAGAGACACAATAAATCAGGCTGCTGTCGGCCAGATTGTTTCTACTCCGACCAGACAAGTGTCTGAATGTTCATAAAGAAGCCGAAGAGACAGAAACAAAGCCTAAGTGTTTCGTCCCGTGTGGAGCGGTTACTGAGGAGTCCGAGTTGAAAACATCCAAACAGTTTGAAAACAGAGGATAAAACGTGCGCACGTCAACACCGAGTTTGATATTTATTCTATCACTCATTTTTCAGTTTGATATTTATTCTATCACTCATTTTTCAGTTTGATATTTATTCTATCACTCATTTTTCAGTTT